ATCTGGTGGTTAATTTATGATTAATTTGTTGACCCCCCAGCCTCCTTAATATGTTAATTTTCTTCTACATTTTAAGACAGACACGATTGATTTCTTTTTCTTATTTATTGATTTCAAACTCGCTTACTGTATGTATACATTGAAAATGACAACTTTTCAAAACATAGTATGATTATAAATACAAATAATCTGAAGTAGTTCCATAAAAGGTGTTTGAGTTTCTTAATGACAATATCTATGTGGTATTTGGAATGTCCATTGGTACCAATTGCGCCCCGTTTTGAGCAGACCTATCTTTGTATTCATCTGAAGCAGAGTTTGTTCAAAATTTCAAAATCTTATACCCGACAAGAAAAAATATTGTTGCTGCCTTCCTCGCAACTTAACGAGGCTGGGGTGTGGCAGTCATTTTCAGACTATTTTTATCTCCTTTAAAAGAAGAGCTCCATATAAAGATATGAAAAATGATCAAATTTTAAAACTAAAATATATGAATTTTTTCTTTGCCAAATGATAGTTGACAGCTTAAGATACCGTATCAAAAAAAATAAGTTAAATCTGGTGGTTAATTTATGATTAATTTGTTGACCCCCCAGCCTCCTTAATATGTTAATTTTCTTCTACATTTTAAGACAGACACGATTGATTTCTTTTTCTTATTTATTGATTTCAAACTCGCTTACTGTATGTATACATTGAAAATGACAACTTTTCAAAACATAGTATGATTATAAATACAAATAATCTGAAGTAGTTCCATAAAAGGTGTTTGAGTTTCTTAATGACAATATCTATGTGGTATTTGGAATGTCCATTGGTACCAATTGCGCCCCGTTTTGAGCAGACCTATCTTTGTATTCATCTGAAGCAGAGTTTGTTCAAAATTTCAAAATCTTATACCCGACAAGAAAAAAAATTGTTGCTGCCTTCCTCGCAACTTAACGAGGCTGGGGTGTGGCAGTCATTTTCAGACTATTTTTATCTCCTTTAAAAGAAGAGCTCCATATAAAGATATGAAAAATGATCAAATTTTAAAACTAAAATATATGAATTTTTTCTTTGCCAAATGATAGTTGACAGCTTAAGATACCGTATCAAAAAAAATAAGTTAAATCTGGTGGTTAATTTATGATTAATTTGTTGACCCCCCAGCCTCCTTAATATGTTAATTTTCTTCTACATTTTAAGACAGACACGATTGATTTCTTTTTCTTATTTATTGATTTCAAACTCGCTTACTGTATGTATACATTGAAAATGACAACTTTTCAAAACATAGTATGATTATAAATACAAATAATCTGAAGTAGTTCCATAAAAGGTGTTTGAGTTTCTTAATGACAATATTGTGGTATTTGGAATGTCCATTGGTACCAATTGGCCCCGTTTTTCATCTGAAGCAGAGCTTGTTCAAAATTTCAAAATCTTATACCCGACAAGAAAAAAAATTGTTGCTGCCTTCCTCGCAACTTAACGAGGCTGGGGTGTGGCAGTCATTTTCAGACTACTTTTATCTCCTTTAAAAGAAGAGCTCCATATAAAGATATGAAAAATGATCAAATTTTAAAACTAAAATGTTAAATCTGGTGGTTAATTTATGATTAATTTGTTGACCCCCCAGCCTCCTTAATATGTTAATACATTTTGAGACAATTGATTTCTTTTTCTTATTTATTGATTTCAAACTCGCTTACTGTATGTATACATTGAAAATGACAACTTTTCAAAACATAGTATGATTATAAATACAAATAATCTGAAGTAGTTCCATAAAAGGTGTTTGAGTTTCTTAATGACAATATCTATGTGGTATTTGGAATGTCCATTGGTACCAATTGCGCCCCGTTTTGAGCAGACCTATCTTTATATTCATCTGAAGCATAGTTTGTTCAAAATTTCAAAAAAATTTCAAAATTTTCAGACTATTTTTATCTCCTTATGAAAAACCTAAAATATATGAATTTTTTCTTTGCCAACCGTATCAAAAAAAAAAGTTAAATCTGTTGCTCCTTGATATGTTAATTTTCCTACATTTTAAGACAGACATGATTGATTTCTTTTTCTATTTATTGATTTCAAACTCGCTTACTGTATGTATACATTGAAAATGACAACTTTTCAAAACATAGTATGATTATAAATACAAATAATCTGAAGTAGTTCCATAAAAGGTGTTTGAGTTTCTTAATGACAATATCTATGTGGTATTTGGAATGTCCATTGGTACCAACTGCGCCCCGTTTTGAGCAGACCTATCTTTGTATTCATCTGAAGCAGAGCTTGTTCAAAATTTCAAAATCTTATACCCGACAAGAAAAAAAATTGTTGCTGCCTTCCTCGCAACTTAACGAGGCTGGGGTGTGGCAGTCATTTTCAGACTATTTTTATCTCCTAAAATATAAAGAAGAGCTCCATATAAAGATGTACAAAAATGATCAAATTTTAAAAGTAAAATGTGTGAATTTTTTCTTTGCCAAATGATAGTTGACAGCTGCCATATAAGATACCGTATCAAAAAAAATATCAAATTTTAAAAATGTTAAAATATAAATTTTTTTTCTTATTTATTGATTTCAAATGATAGTTGGTTAATTTATGATTAATTTGTTGACCCCCCAGCCTCATATAAAGATATGAAAAATGATCTAAGTTAAATCTGGTGTTTGTTCAAAATTTCAAAATTTATACCCGACAAGAAAAAATATTAATTTGTGTGGAGTCCCCCCAGCCTCTTTAATATGTTAATTTTCTTCTACATTTTAAGACAGACATGATTGATTTCTTTTTCTTATTTATTGATTTCAAACTCGCTTACTGTATGTATACATTGAAAATGACAACTTTTCAAAACATAGTATGATTATAAATACAAATAATCTGAAGTAGTTCCATAAAAGGTGTTTGAGTTTCTTAATGACAATATCTATGTGGTATTTGGAATGTCCATTGGTACCAATTGCGCCCCGTTTTGAGCAGACCTATCTTTGTATTCATCTGAAGCAGAGTTTGTTCAAAATTTCAAAATCTTATACCCGACAAGAAAAAAAATTGTTGCTGCCTTCCTCGCAACTTAACGAGGCTGGGGTGTGGCAGTCATTTTCAGACTATTTTTATCTCCTTTAAAAGAAGAGCTCCATATAAAGATATGAAAAATGATCAAATTTTAAAACTAAAATATATGAATTTTTTCTTTGCCAAATGATAGTTGACAGCTTAAGATACCGTATCAAAAAAAAATAAGTTAAATCTGGTGGTTAATTTATGATTAATTTGTTGACCCCCCAGCCTCCTTAATATGTTAATTTTCTTCTACATTTTAAGACAGACACGATTGATTTCTTTTTTTTATTTATTGATTTCAAACTCGCTTACTGTATGTATACATTGAAAATGACAACTTTTGAAAACATAGTATGATTATAAATACAAATAATCTGAAGTAGTTCCTTAAAAGGTGTTTGAGTTTCTTAATGACAATATCTATGTGGTATTTGGAATGTCCATTGGTACCAATTGCGCCCCGTTTTGAGCAGACCTATCTTTGTATTCATCTGAAGCAGAGTTTGTTCAAAATTTCAAAATCTTATACCCGACAAGAAAAAAAAATGTTACTGCCTTCCTCGCAACTTAACGAGGCTGGGGTGTGGCAGCCATTTTCAGACTATTTCTATCTCCTTTAAAAGATGAGCTCCATATAAAGATATACAATTACAAAAATGATCAAATTTTAAAACTAAAATATATGAATTTTTTCTTTGCCAAATGATAGTTGACAGCTTAAGATACCGTATAAAAAAAAATAAGTTAAATCTGATGGTTAATTTATGATTAATTTGTTGACCTCCCAGCCTCATTAAGATAAATCGACGACGTATTGTCAGTTAACAATGCTTATTTTCATTCTTATGTCTATGCATCACGATGAGCTTATTGAAAAGATACCATAGAGTCTGTCATATCGGTCCATATTTGGATATTTAAGTAGAAAAAAAGACGATAATGGTTATCTATCAACCATTTCTGATAACCGCTATAACTTTCAAATCGTCAACTTCCCTTCATTATGCAGTTATATACCTTCATTACTTTCATACGGGCTTTGTATCTCCCAGTTCCTTGATATGCAATAGCATGCTCTACGTATGAGTAGTTTTTTTTTTTTAAATGAGTTCGGTTATTGAAAAAAAAACATGTTGATGAAACAAGAATATCAACAGTCACGTTTCAATTTATCATTTCATAAGTTTTTTTCATTGATTTATTGACCTTGTCAGGAAAGGATAGATAACACAACCTTTTTTCTTCCAAAATTCAAATATCTATGCTAAAATATTTTGCATCTTTCACTTCATAAGTGATATTTATAAAGTTTACAGCATAGGGTTTGGCCAAGCCACATGATTTGGTGGAAAGTACAAAATGCAACTTTACAGTTAAATTAATATTTTAAAAAGTTTCAGAAATGTATGAAGTGTTATTACTGTAAAGTTTCTGGGGACATTTTCAAGAGTGTATTTAAAAACTAAAATACCTAAATCACATCTTCATGGAAAGAAATATTGAAAAAATACCATACTTCTGTGTTTGAGAGAAGATTTGTTTGTGGTATGCATCCTTAAGTCAAATGCTGACTGACGTTTTTAATGCTTATGGTTAGGCAATCTTTTACACACTAAATTGTTTACGGATTTGTCCGCTATTTCTCGATCATGAGTTCATTACAAGGTTACCGGAGCCAACTCTGATGTTTAAGGGGTCTGTGTATGTTCTACTTTAATTCATATTTGAATCAATAACCTACTGATTGTCAATCTTTTACGAATGCGATGAGAATGTTGATAAAGTCACAAAAAACGTATTTACAGCAATGGTTTAAATCTACCTTAAAACATATACATGAATGTTTATACAAGACAAAGAGCTTGACTAATTTTTTGTCTTGGCGTCTATCAAGGCCTACATCAGACTCCCTAGTTATAAGTAGATGTTAATGGATAACTAATAAATTATTATTTAATTTAAGATTTGATTTCTACCCTTGATCCTTGACTTTTTTGGGGGGATTTTAAATAGTCGGTATAAATTCTGACACATAGCTGCAAGATGGACCCTCAAAATCATGACGTCTGAGATAAAGATGATAATGAGAGTAAATCCCAAAAGAAACCCTCCCAGAATTCCAATGCCTTGGGATGACTTCCGGTCATCTGGAGCACTCTCCTTTTTCCTTATGCTGGACGACAGATTCCGTACTGGTACCTTTCCCTCCGTTTTTGTGTTCTCTAGCACTGGTCTCATAATATTCTGAATTTCCTCGTAAGTAAAGTTATTTAGAAATTCCCATTTGCTCACTTTTGGTTCTTCTTTGTCTGCAAGTAAATCAGCATTAAATGTGAAAATGTTTTCACGAGGTACATGTAGTATCATGCAGTCTTGCTTTACAATGATGAGCTATAGATCAGTTCTATCAGTCTGATCTTAATCATCAGACATCTATATATAGATTGAAGTTAATCCGTCGACTTTAAAAAGGTTAATAATGCATTTATACTCTACATTTCAAAAAAGTACGCTACGTTGGGTTTGTGGAAAACGTTAACGTTATTTACGTATATTACGTTATCAAAGTACTTACGGTAATATCCTAGTATGACCACTCGATCAGCAATCAGCAAGGATTGTTCTAAAATATCAAGATGTTTACGTTAATGGTAAAAGTAGACAAACAAAGAACTAGTTATCAATAAATAATATTTCTTTCATGTTTCACTTGGCAATATTGTACAGAAATAATAGAAATAATTAACACATCTGACTTAATATCAAATTTTCTTTTCTTTTATCTATGAACTGTTTTTCAAGAGATGGTTCCAAAGCCGTGTCCTTAGTACATAAACTTCTTGATTAGAAAAGATGTCCTCATTAAAAAAAATTTACATGGTACACTTTATCTACTTCAAAAAATTCATTCAAATATTTAAAATAAGAGAAACAATACTCAAGCTAGAAATGCAACTGAAACCATATAAACTGCTTGCAGAGCAAACGAATTACGGATCTCAAATAATATCAAATGTTGGATCAGTTGCCAAGGAGTAGTAACATCCCCTGTCGATCGGTCGCATGCAATTAATCGTACCCCTTGTCATTATTGGGCAAGAAGTAAATGAAGAAGTAAAAGAAGAAAATGAAAGTTGAAAATAATGGTCACATGCTTTTTGTTTTTTTAAATGAAAACCCTCAGTAACCTTTCGCTTTAACAATGGGTTGTTCAATTCTAATTACCAAGTTCATTTTACAATTAAAATAATTTGGGAAGACTGCTTAAATCACCAATTCAATTTTTCAAAAGTTTCCCTCGTTTTAGAAAGTGTTTGTCGATACACGTAGAAGGTGTTCAAACGTATTGAAGGAACTAGGATACATACATTGATTAAACAGGTGATAATGGTGTGTTGCAATTTAAATTAACTAAGGCAGTTGACGTTTGTAAATGTTATCACACATATCATAAAAAATGTAAGCTTGTAATCTATGTATCACTTTTCACTGTTTCTTTTTATTTTGAATGGTATAAATTAGTTTTCTGTTTGTTTTTGTATTTCATAAAGTGGATCATGTACATAAATTCTGAAGAAAATTTTTAGACAATGGCCTAAAATGAAAACGATAGTAGTAAAAGGCACTAACTGTTAATATTTCGTATATTTTCCTACTATTATTTCAGGTTTAATTGCACTATTGATTTAATATTTGGATAAACCTCGTTTTTGCAGTAAAAAATCAACTTTTACCTTTCATTATCAGTAGGGAATAATGCAAGGAGAAGTTTCTTTCACAATCCAATCCTAAAATCTCCAGCTTTGTTTTATGAGTATATATGCAGTCATCAAAATACAGGGGATGATGCCTATCAAGCCACTGACAGGAGACAAAATAAAGAAATAATCCTATACATCAAAGATTTATGCCATATAACGTACGTCAGCATATCAAACATTATGAAATGTACCATATATTCTTAGTATAAAAACTGTCCTGTCGAAAATATTTTTAATCAATACTTTCTGTCTTTTAAAATCTATATATAATATAAAGTTTGAGATTACTTACATTTATGGGCACCGTATGTACCCACTTTTCAGTTATCCAGATAGTTAGCCGTAGCTGCTGTGGTTGTTCAGGACATCCCGTCCAACCAAAGGACTGCACTCCACAGACATAAATCGAATGCTGGAAATTCTTCAGAGACTATCAAAAAAAGAAAAGGTTGAAAGAAAAAAAATTCAGTTTTTATTTTTCAAATTTAGCCAATAGGGGATAAAAAGGAAAATACGATAAATCAAAATAATAAATAAATTTCTTCCATAGTAAAAAAAAAAAAATTCTTATAATAAAATAATGTTCTGAAGCATTTATGAATGGTTTACTTTTATCGTGTAAAAATATATAAACAAGAGATGTTTGTAAAACACTTATGCCCCCTCCCCCCATTGGAATTTTTTTAAGTCTTAAAGGGCATAACTCTTCAAAAATGGCGCGATCGTACCCAAAACCAAAACTTGACTTAGATATTCATCTAATAAATCTGTATGCTGAATTTCATTTCATTATGTGCAACCTGTGCAATGAAAATGAACGGAAACTGAAAATAATTAGAATTTTTCTATGGCCAAGGGGTATAACTCTGTCAAAAATGGCGCAGTCGTTCCCAAAACAGAACTTGACCTAGATATTTCTCTGATATATCTGTATATCAAATTTCATTTTAGTGTGTGCAACGGTTGTGAAGAAAATGAACGGAAACTAAGTGGACGGACAGACAGACCGACAGACAGCAGCAAATATCTTCGAAAGGGGGGGGGGGCATAAAAATAAATAAATATGGGTGAAACAGATAATAGATACTATAACTTATGACTGTGTATTGTTTTCTTTGTTGTTTGTTTATGTGTTGTTTATACGTCGCTCTCAAGAATTTTTTTAATTAGCACCTTGTTTTGTCTGTGTGCTGTTTATCGTCTTTCTCGATAATTTCACTGATATGGCAACGTTCCCACTTGCCATCGGATGGCTGCAAATTAAGACTTATTCTCGGCACTTAGAACCCTTAAGCATGCAGTGAGTGATTTTCTTCATGCCCAAAACTACTGCGACACGGACTATATGGTCTTGTCTGAAGAACGGTCTCCATGCCCTGGAGTGGATTCGAACCCGCGACGTAAATTCAAGTCCTTACTCCACGACTTTAGTGAAGGGACTCTAATCACCAAGCCACTAAGGCGACTACTTGTGTATTGTAATTTAAGCCTTTACATTAATCTATCTTTTTTTCAACTATCATGACATAAAACAGATTTCTTTATCAAATGTAAACAATGCATATATAATATCTGCTTTAAAAATTGTTCTTAGTAAAATATCAAATTATTTGTTTGTTGCTTTGATTGCCAGTGGTGTTATACGGACTAGTATTTTTATTATGCCTACTGGTTTTGAGCATTATTAATATTTGTTTTAACAGGTAGTTATGCTGCCTGTATCTTAATAATGGTTAAAACGTTAATTATTAGTTTTGTTGGAGTTTTTGTTAAGACTGTTGGTAATACTAATTGGATAAGCTTATTTGCATTCGGTTGTGTTCGACATAGATGTATTTAAAAAAAATTGTAAAAGAAATAACAAAACATTTACTAACAATGTTCTCGGGCAAAATACGTTTTAATTGTCGACCCTCGAACCAAACTGTTTTGTTTTGGGGTCCGTCAAAACTTCTATTGCCCGAGAACCCAGTCAATAAATGCATCCTACAATTTTCTTTATATATTGCAGAATTACAATGATATCAGTCAAAGAGATCGATTTACCACAGTGATACTTTCCATACTGTAGTTCACTAACTTCATTTCTGGATGTCTGTAATTTGGTTCTACAAATATACACATTTGCATGTGACTGTTAAATTTTGCTAAATCCCTTGATTACTAGTAGATAAACAATGTACTACGATCAGCAATTTCTTTTAAAAAGGAGAATTTTATGTTTATAGAATACAATTTGTTACTTTGATTTGTCTTGAAACCATCATTTATTTCGTTAAATAAAGGACTTTAAAAAAATAATATCTTTAGTAAAATATTTATGAGAAGGAAACGCAATACTTGCTTGACTAGTCGAATGTTATCACTTTTTATAACTTACCTATAAATAATGTTATATTACACTTGTCTTCTGTATCTTTATCAAAACAAAGGCATGTTCCATCCTTAAATGAAAGTGTATCAAAAATTTTGAAATAAATTACTTTTTTTTGAAATCTCATTCAGTGATGATTTAGCGGCGTTACTTTAACTGTACTTTAACTGTTAATACGAGGGGTGATCAAAAAGTTCGGGAACTATCTCTATATTAACAAAACCACAATTCAAATCCGAATGAAGTTTGGCACACATTGAATCATATTAATGTTCAAAAATTAGTTGAATATCTTAAATAATCTTAACAATAACAATTATTAAGTCCTTAAAACATCTTTTATTTTAGATTCTAAACATATCAGAGAACGTAAAAAGAAGGCACCTATACTTTATCCCTATTGAATAAACGGTGCTCCAAAGTCAGAGGACTCGAGTTCTGATGGTCACCATGCTTATTATGGAAAAGAATATTCTTCTGCATATATCTATATTCTTATCCTTATATACATGTACTATTGTCAAGATTTGGCCATTTCTGACAAATGGACTATTTTTGTTGTTTAAAAAAATAAAACTTTGCATGGTAAGAAATATAGGAGAAAAATATTTCAGCTTCTGTGACAGAACGCTAACATTTCAACTGACCGTCTGAATCACGTGATTCGCGCATGCGCAGGTTGCAGATGCGCGTTAAAATTGGAGAGTATCACTTTTAAGAATTTTCAACAACGAAATCCTATATCTTTTTTTTAAGGGTAATTATTCAAATAGTTCGCCAACTTTTTGATCACCCCTCGTATATTTGTGTAAGTATTGCCCAAGTGTTTACAAAGCGGTTTAGTCTCTTTATAAATTTATACTCACTGTTATATTGTACATCATAAAATGAAAGCCAGTGCAATCTGCATAACATAATGCTTGATTGGATAGGACATTTTCCATTGGACAAGCAAGCGGGAAATGCGAATCTGCAATAGTCGATCTAATTCTATATGTGGAAGATTATTACTAACATTAATAAGAAAAAAATCTTTAAACATAGATTTGAAAGTACTTCATAGTACATGTATATAAACACGTATCTTACAACGAAAAATAATAATTAAAAAAAACAGTAAAATAAGAAAGAATTTCAGAATATAGAACATAGCAAATAGTTAATATGTTTAAAAATATTTAACTTAAAAAAACATACCATCCCAAAAGGAAGGAATCTGACGTAGCGAACTGTTATGTTGTTGATCGTATGAGATGATGCAATAGCATTTATCCCCCTGAAAACATTCGATTGTCTGCATTTAACATCAAAATATCTAATCTTGAAATGGTGTAAGATCATGGACGGTTCCTGTTGATTTTCATGAACAAAAACGTTTACTTACATTTTCAAGAAAGTTTACAAAATAAAACCTGGTTCTTTGTCAAGAAACTTATTTGATATATACTGAAACGCAAAAGAAACGCAACAAGCAGTAATCTACAAATGTTTGATTTTTTTATCTAATGATTTTCAAAATTGAAAACAGTACGGCTAAATTCACTTTCCAGAACATCAGATTTGATAAAAATGTTAAATCTTTATCTTTTTACTTTGCTAAGTAACATATGACTGTTTAAACACCCCCCTCCCAGCCATTCAAGTTAAACGTGCAAGACGTCCCTAAACAACATTTGCAGCTTAATTTCTACGATACAATAGGTTCATCAATATCGAGATCTGAGCGAAAGAATTATTCTTTGCCATTTTTAAATGCCCGTTTTTCAGATGATAAGGTCGAATTTTCTCTAACTTAGAGCAGTGTAACTACCCTTGGACTTCCGGTACAAGGACTGTCCTTAATGCAAATGATACTTTAGGCCATGTTGAGGCGTAATGTAGTGAATTTTTTCATCAGCAACTCTCCATCACCTTTACATTGAAAGGATGTATTCGCATTGACAAAAGAATTGACCTATAGGAGAGAACGATTTCCCGGAAAAAGTGACATTGAAAAATTAACCTTTATTTGTTGTTTTCTACCGTATATATGTCTAAATTTTTCAAATTTGTATTTTATACCTAAAATTTGTTATTTACAACTTTACAAACTTTACACCTCCAAAATTGGCCTAAACACCATTTTGTCCGATAAAGCGTTGATTTTTGCATGAATTTTGGCCTAGAAGTCCTTCAGGGCAGGCCTGCCCCTAAATAAAATTGTGATATTTCGATAGATTTGGTTGTAAGGATTAATTTAAGATAGGATTTTTTTAGGGGCACCCCTGCCCTAGGGTCGAAATTCACAAAAAACCTACAAAAATTAAGGAAACCTGATTTTGATAATCTGCTTCAAATTTATACCATTAAATGTTATAGTCAGACTAGCTCAGTTGAAAGTGCTAACTTTTACACCGTGCGAACTAACATTTCAAAGTCGGGGGTTCGAATCCGCCTGGTACCACACTTAAAGTTTTAAATTGTCGCCTTTTCAAAGACTATTTTAATATTTTTTTATAGCCTCGTATATTTTCATTTAATTATATATCCTTTATGCATGCCCATTCTTAATATAAGAAATACTAAAGAGATATCAAATCGTAAAAATCCAATGTACAGTTTTCAGTCAGGCGGAACAAACCACACTTTCTCCGAGGACAGGAATAACTCACTCTGTGTTACTCAATACAGGTATTATTGGCAGCATTGAGCTGTGATGAATGCCAATGGTATATGTTCCTTAGAATATAATAACATTGATTTTGACTACATACATATCAGTAATTGTCCTCATCGGATTTGATTTAAGCCTAATAGATATAATTTGAACACATTAATGGAATGTTTTACTACATTCACGGATAAAATTGCCTGAACATAAAGAAAAGAATTTCAGAGGAAGTAAACATTACCATTATGCTTATCGAGAAGTTAAGACAAATATCAATTATTACATTTTGAGATTAAAAAATTCAGGAAATCAATGAAAGGGTTCCTTATACCTCTCCTCGCCGAAAAAAAGATTAAGGAAAAAAACAAATTGTTATATGTATTTAGCCTAATGCCATTAATCAGAACGGAAATCGACGAGGTTTTTGTAGAGAAAAAACCAAGCCCGGTCCTATAGGTCAAATCCCTATTTATAATGAAGTGATCCTTTTCCAGCTAGAGTAATGGACGTGCGTACTGAAGCCATTTTCAAGAAGCCTTAGCATAGTCACGGGAAAGGAAAGGAGAGTTTATTTTTTGAAATATTGCTGCATTACATATGATGTACAGTCAAAACCCTTAAAACTCCATAATATTGCCAAATGCTTTGTTAAACATTCAATTTTGGATTTCTGTTAAGCAGACTCAAACTTGACTTCCGGTTATGGTATGAAAATCGTTCAACCGTTAAATTGCCGATGTTTACCAAATTGAAAATATCCATAATTTTAAGATACAAAATTCTTTACTTCACATAATTATTTAAGAAGTAATGTCCGCGTTTTCATGAATGTTGCAGAATAACCTCCGAGGTCGAGAAATGTTGTTTGAAAGATAAAAGCCGAGGCGTTAGCCGAGGCTTTTATAATTCAAACAACATTTCGAGACCGTGGAGGTTATTCTGCATCATTCACGAAAACAAGGACTTTATTTCTATTCTGCTACATGTAGTTAACAGCCCTAAAATACGACTGATCGTTTCTCTATAGAGAATCGAATTAGGTCACCATGCTGCTTTAACGCTGTTCCATTTAACACCAGAGTGTAAATTTTTTTGTTTACCTGTGTATAGAGTGCAGACAATTTGAGCTTTCGCTGCATTAAAATTAGCCTTTTATTGTTTGTAGCTTAAAAAGATTAATCTTTTTGAATATACAATAACAAAATCAGTTTCCTATTTTACCACTTTATTACCAAGATCACAGAGTTTAAATATGGCGTAGGAGGTTCGGGAAACAGCCCCGCTTGGCCTTAGAAACCTACATTCATCAGCTACTTTCTGCAATATACAGTGTTTAAATTGCAAAAGACGACACATCAATGTGGTTTAAATACGTATTTCATTCCTAAGTCAAATGTACATTTCAACTGCACAGGTTTTATACGTGTTTCTTATCTGATAATTTTTTGATGACGATCGTGATTTATTGGAGAATAATTTTCGCGGCTTTCCTTTGAAGTAGCCAATAATCGTAGTAGAATTCCACCTAAACTAGGGTGTTGCGTTTCTTTTGCGAGTCAGTATATTTTTAAATATTAGTCAAAAAATAAATAATTTCGGTTATATCAGAAAATTGCTTTCAATTTTTGATTGTTTATAAAATGTCAAGTAACCTTACTGTTCTGTTGTAATTAAGTTTTAGAAGCAGAAAATTAGATAAAATCATATGCGACAAAAAAAAACTGTTCCTTCTATACTTCTCACTCGGTTTAACATTGCTATTACAATTATAAACAGGGAAAAATAATATTTTTAAATCCCTAACATCTCAAAATAAAAGACACGAAAGACAATGGACCTTGAATAATTCATTTAGTCAAAAAACAGACCATTATTCCTCTTTACATGTACATATGGATAAACCTGTAAAATTTAAAATTCAGAGATTTTTCAAAAAAATTTTTCCCAAGAAATTTATTTAACGCAGAAACTATTGGAAGACGAACCCTGATATTCATCTTCGTTATCAAATATGATATTTAATCCAAAAGTCACATTTTTTTTTTTGATAAATTGATCATCAATTAACACGCCCTTATCAATTTTATTATTTGTCTTAGAATTCCAGAAAGCTATATGAAACATATAACATTATTGAGATAACGAAAAGTATTCAAGGTGAAATTGGAGCAGAGCAAACACGGACCTCCAAAACATAAGAGGTGGGAAATAAAGGAAAAATCCGTCGTTAATTCCGTGTATAAATCATAGACAAATAATAAGAATGAAAACCGTCAGTCGGCATTTGACTCAATGATAAATTGTATTTGCTGACAATGTCATTGTATTGACCATAGAACTTACGAAATGATGACTTTAAATGAGACTGCGGATATTCTTGTTTCATCAACTTCTTTGTCTATTATTTACCTCGTTTTAGAAAATTGTCGTACATAGACGTACATAGAGCATGCTCTTGCCAATAATCATCGAATCAACTGAGATATATAAACTCCGTATACAGGTGATGAAGGTACATGTATATTGCTGCATAAGTAAGGGAAGTTGACGATAGAAAAGTTAAAGTCATCACGTTTGAATTTCTGAAAATTATAAAGAAAACCACAAAGAACGCAGGAATTCGTGTAGACCATCTTTAAAATAAGGTTTGCTTGCTCTCTACCGACTCTAAGAAAAATCAATTGGTCGGTAGGTAGGTGGGAAGATTTTTTTCCAGAAAATTTCAACATATTACTACACAGGAATAAAAGAGGAATATAAAATATCGTGTCCTGGAATGTGAAAGAAATTTTTAGTGAGGGCCACTTTTAGCCAGTCAGTCGGGAGAGGGCAGCCAAATATTTTTTTAAAAAGATGTCCTATCGCTGCACAGCAAGAATGATAACAGCTACGTCATTAATTTGTTACTTTTTGACTCCCAGGTGCAGATCGTCCACCATTTTTTAAAAACCTCTCACATGGTGCTTTTTTATAATTTTTACTGCAACTTTGCTATAAAGCGTCTGGTTTTGAGTTGAAGCATCATAATTATTTGAGCTTTGTCCAAATGTTATTTTTTATTTGCATATTTCAAATAGAATTCAAGAGTAAGTGTTGTGAAAATTTGTAGAATCCAACCTTCACTTTGTTACCACCGTTGAAAAATGTTTAAAAAATGAAAACCTGATAAAACGTCCGACTAACTTTCGAAATATTTACAACTAATTACATTCAACTAGACCAATAGATAGACAGATGCTAGGAACAAATATGTGCAAGTAGAAAAACAAATGCCATGTGGAAAGTTTATGTAGTTAAAAAAATTTAAATAGCTCGAAACTAGATGATTAAACATTAGCTGGGGTCTACAAAATTTTAAACGTGCATATTAGAAATGTAACAGATTACGGAAAGGAATGAAAAAAAAGTGTGAAGAAAAGACGTCAATGATACCTATTTTTGTGTTCATTTTAAAATTTTAATATCCTAATTAACGTTTTGACATTTTAAGTTTATAAGTCAAAATAAAAAGTGCTATGAGTGTGTAAAACTTTGTTAATATTTTTATTATACACCTTTATCTCATCTATTCAAAAAGAATAGCAATTTTTTTAACTGATGAGAAAAAAACTAACGATGTAAAGTTTCTTTCGCTCCTCCAATACATGTTTAAACCTTATAGATCTTCATTAAGAATAAGGAAATAATTATTGTAACCTGTACATCGTTTTTGAAGATGAAACCAGTCTGCACGGTGCATTCGGTCCGGCAGATGTTCTTATTATCTATGTCCTCCATTATCCGAATCCCCCAGTATACAGAAGTAAAGACTGAAACAAAATCAGGTATTAGTGGTGTTTTCAATGTTTTATACATTACACAGACCAAATCATTAAAACCATCATAAATAAATACCGGGTATATAATAGCCCTTACCAAAGTAAAATTATTGCAGCAATATTGCCGCTATATTGCGGCAACATTGCAGCAACACATTTTTGTCACCAGAAACAAGCTTTTTGGGTTAGTGAAATATCACCGCTAGCGGCAACAACTTCTGGTGACATTCTGGCAATACTGCCAGAAAAAAAAACTTTCTGGCAGTATTGCCAAAATGTCGCCAGAAGATCTAGGATTACCCAATAGGCATTTGTGAGCATGCTCAGTCATTTACTTCCTCTTTTTAAATAAAATGGAGGGAATTCAAAGGCAAGCATGTTTTGCTTCATTATTGAATGGTATCAAGTTAATTGGAGTTGTTACTTGTGTACAATAGGATTAGACATGATGACTAGTAAGACTGAATAATGTGGAATAGCCAGAAAAAAAGAATTTCAGCAGTTTCCATGGCATGGCCTTTTGAAAGAATTATCAGGAATGTCTAATCTGTTTTCATGGTATATATATATCAGACTTGGTAAGTCAAAACCATATTCTTTTCTAGATGAATGATTTTATGGAGTTAAAATAGGAAAAATTTTATGCATTTCAACTAGTGCTTGTGATGCATGTATACTTGTATGTCTATATATACCATTGTTGCAGGAGAAGATGAATGCATGTTATCAATTAAATGCATGCACATATATGATTAATTTATTGCATAAATTTGAATACCTGCAAGAAAATAATGATTCTATATATATGTTGGAAATTACAAACAAGCTATGTATTATACATTATACTGATTGTCTTTAGGGAATATGTAATGGTCAGCTAATTATAAGGATATTTGAAAATTAATGCAGAGTTGCTGGACATTTTTACAGTGGCATATTAATATTTTTTATACACACATTTTTTATGTGCCCGGATTGATAGATTAGGGCGCATATTGTTTTTGTCCAATCTGTTTGTAAACTTTAACCTTTGCCAGATGTGATAACTTTTGAACCAATGAGATATAAAGACTTCATATTTGGTATGCATACTCCACTTATTAAGTCCTTTCAAATTACACCAAGGTCAATGACCTGGTGACCTTAACTGACCTATATGCTAAAAATAGTTTTTATTGAATATTTGCAATAAATTAAGAACCAGGAGAAATAGAGACTATATACTTAGTATATGCATACTCAACTAATTAGGGTGTTTAAAATGACACCAAGGTCTTTGACCTTGTAACCTTTGCTGTGAGCCATATGCTTAAAATAGATTTTTCGAACCTTCGACATAACTTTTGAACCATGAAAGATGGCAGCCTCATATTTAGTATCCATTCTCCACTATTTATGCTCTTTCTAATGACACCAAGGTCAATAACCTTGTGACCTTTTTTTTGAGCTATATGCTAAAAATAGCCTTTATAAAACCCCACCATAAATTTTGAACCATAAGAGATAGAGACTTCATATTTAGTATGCATATTCCACTAATTGATTATAAGTACTTTCAAATGACACCAAGATCAATGACCTTGTGACTTTGACTGTGTCCTACATGCTAAAAATGGTTTTCCAAACTTTGTTGCCATTGGGGGCATAAAGTTCAAAACACATCTTTTTTCAACAAAATTTTTCTATCTTATCAAAGAATAGCATAAGCTTAATAAAATCTTATGCGTGAAAAGAAGAAAACACTTGCTGTGGCCTTCAACTCGACATTTAGATATATCGACGACGTATTGTCAATTAATAATGATAATTTCCATTCCTACGTCGATACGATATATCCTGGTGAACTTGAGATAAAAGATACCACAGAGTCCGACACTTCTGCTTCATACTTGTATATTTTACTTGAAAAAGACACTAATGGTAATCTAACAACCAAGCTATATGATAAACGTGATGACTTTAAGTTTTCTATCGTCAACTTCCCTTACTTATGCAGCAATATACCTTCATCACCTGCATACGGAGTATATATATCTCAGTTGATTCGATACGCAAGAGCGTGCTCTACGTATGAACAATTTCTTAAACGAGGTAAATTATTGACAAGCAAGTTGATGAAACAAGAATATCAACAGTCTCGTTTAATGTCATCATTTCGTAAATTCTATGGTCGATACAATGACTTTGTCAGCAAATACAATTTATCATTGAGTCATATGCTGACTGACGTTTTTCATACCAATTGTTAGTCCATTATTTATACACTGAATTGACGACGGATTTTTTCCGTTATTTCCTGATCATGACAACGAGCACACGGCGGGTGTGACCGGTCGGCAGGGGATGCTCACTCCTCCATGGCACCTGATCCCACCTCTGATGTTTCAGAGGTCCGTGTTTGCTCTGCTCTTATTTTGTATATTGTTTAATGGACGTTGAGACTGAATACTGTTCGTTATCTCCATATCCTTCTTAAGTAGCTATTTCTTACTGACTCTGTAGCTTATTATGCTCTTGATTCTTATGTTCCTCAGCACAGTTTGTTAATTGTTAGATTGATAGATCATTATTTCTATTAAATATCAATTTATATCTAATTTACATACGAAAAACGATATTGCCACAATATTGCGGCAATAATGCCGGAAGATGTTGCCAGAAGATCAATATTTTGGTCATGATTTGCAGCAATATTGCTGCAACCCATTTCTGGCAATATTGCCGCAAAACTAATTAACATACGAAAAACGATATAGCCGCAATATTGCGGCAATAATGCCGGAAGATGTTGCCAGAAGATCAATATTTTGGTCATGATTTGCAGCAATATTGCCGCAACCCCTTTTGGCAATATTGCCGCAAAACTAATTTACATACGAAAAACGATATAGCCGCAATATTGCGACAATGTATTGCCAGAATGTTGCTGCAATATTGCGGCAATAAAGCCAGAAGATGTTGCCAGAAGGTCAATATTTTGGTAAGGGAGTATATTTTCTCCCATTTCATTTACCCTCGATACACGAGCTGATTATATACGCGGGTCATTTAAGAATACATAGACAATGTCCCTTCTCATAATATTATTTTCACAAGTTTTTACAATTTTTTTATGAATTCATTATCATACGAAAAATCATTTATTTTGTCAAAGTGGGAAGTTTCATTACATTTGATTAAATGGTACTCATGTTTTTGTCACCACAGAGCACAGTATATAAAAACAAAAACAAAAAAAAAACTTCAAAAGAACGTCGAGTAAATTTCTCAAAATTGCGTCTTCATTAATCATAAAATCACATCCATAACACTTGAAATATGTTTCCAAATTCATTACTGTACAGCGTAACTTTGCTTTCAAAAGCTCCACAGCAATGGACCGCACATCACGTTTCATGACGTTACTCTTTTGACAAGATTTTAAAACTATAATCTGTTTTTTTTGCAGACCATTCACTGTCTGATTCAAAGTCTTAATCACCCAAAAATACTTTTATATATTATATATTTTATGAGTTTAATGTTTAAATGTGTAAAATAAATTTGGTTATAATATGACCTTAAAAAGATAATGGCAAGAGTCTACGAACTTTTTGAATGGTTTTCGTACATTATACATATCACGAAAATAAATCTACGGTTAATAATGTTACAATAGCAATTTCCAGGTAAAAAAAAAAAGGGGGGGTCTGCTTGTTATTTTCACTTTTTTTGTGTAAGCGTGGTGAAGATTTTTGTGAATCATAAATCGTTTGCATAATGTGCAAATATGTGATGCTTGTTTTCTTTAATTAGCTTTTAATGTTAATAAAAATAATAAAGTTCTTAAAAAATATCTGTTTGTGCATTTATTTGTAAGTATATATGTTTCCGCAATTGTTTATCGTGTTTATTGTGAAGATATAACTCTGAATCTACATGTAAAGAAGATAAATCCTTATAAACCTGACTGTGGCTGTTTATTTGGAGTGAAAACAGTGACCCTTGAGCTTGATCCAAACTTCAGCAGATCTCCGTGTAAGAACAGGACCGAATGCATCTCGTTATGAATTGTAAGAATATCCCGTCTGCAACCATTAAAACATTTTATTCATTGAGTGGTCATATACAGATATATAAATGTACATTCGAAAGATTTCCGAACTAAATAAATCAAATCAAGAATAAAGAATGATTTAATTTGGGAAATCCAACAATATAAACAATATATATGAAACCTTACCCGATAAATATATCATTGACTGAATTTATCCATTCACTACTTAGTATATTGATAGGTTTCATCCAGCTCTTTAAGTCTGCTTTAGACCCATTGGTAAAGAAATCCATTGAAAAGAGTCGTTGTCCATACTTGTTCATTGTAAATAATGTCACCTTCGGATAAAGCAATCATCATTTAGATAAACTTTAGAACAATTTTTGAAATTATAACGGTGGAAGCGATAATTTTACATATCAATATTTAGCATTACAAACATACATATTCTGGCGTATGATAAAGTCTCCCCTCGTTCCACCAGTCAATAGCAGGGTTTCTCATGATATCATCCAAAAATATACCATTAAATTTCCCAGCTGTGTCTGTTTCCCAGACTTCAAAGATGTTGGAATTGTTTCCCGGAACGGAAAGTAAAGGTTTCATGTCATAATCTTGAAGAGGAAAACTATTATATCATTTGAAGTCAAAAAATTACTTTATGTACAGTTTTACTTTTTGAATACATAAACTTACAACTCTAAAGAAATGAAAAAGAGTGTGCACTACAATGGGCAGATGTTTTTTTGTGTTCATACAAGCATATTTTACATTCAAAGGATACCTGTATTGTAAATCCTCATTAAACCTGGACACACAGTTTCCCCACAGTTGCAGATCTCCTGATCAACAGCAAATGTCTGGTTGTAGGTGTCTCCACAATAACATCGAAAATGTTCCTAAAAATAATGACAGCGTCTCATTCAAATAGCCTAATTAAAATGTTTTTTCATTTGTTGATATGCTATAAAAATATTTACGTATTATCACCTTCGAACTTGAAAACGTTGACTGTATAAATCCATTTATACTTTACCCTAAATCCTGCATAGTTCAAGTGCTGTGACAGACATAACTGTATGCATCTGTGGGTGAGTGAAAATGCTGCTTTTTCACTATTGTTCGGAAATTTTGTCTGTTCTGTATAATTAGAGAACTTATCCATATTGTTTTTGAACCGATAACACCCAACAAATCCTGTAAAAACATTATTTTTGAATGTAAATTAACATAAGATCTGATTTTAAAGAGTTTTGGTTTTTTTATTTGAAGGAAAGATAGAGGGAGCTAGCCTTGTGAAAAACAAAGTATATAAGTTATTGTTGGTCCTCTGATATTTTTGAAACTGCTTTAGAAAGTTAATTGATTATTTTAAATGCTAAAAAGGTGATAAAATATTCTGTTGAATGCGGATATTTCTCCTTCATGAATAATTTTGTGCTATTCCAGGAAGCTACCCGCATTCTTCAAAGTGGTTTATTAGAAGTTTTAATAAAGATAAAAGAATTAGAATATGCATGAATAAGTCTTTATTTGTTAAATCTGAGATTTATCTTCAATATCAATGTTTTCTGCCACTGGCATTAATGCTACATGTAGATTTGCAAGCATCACACATCAAGTCAGTATTTTAACAAATCAGGCAATTTTTTTTAAAAAGAATGTTTGGTGGCCCTCTCCTGTCCGATTGACTAAAATTGTCCGACTCAAACCATTTTTTTCATTGAGACTTTCAATGAATCTTTAAAGCATGGTGCCAACTTGCACATCAAATGATGCATTTCGGTGAGACCCATCTTCAGGGATGTAAAGCAAATCATGGACCTTGCCATTATCTCTCTATAACATCCGGGGAACCAATCATTTAACCGCAGCGCCGACTATACCGCTGAATAAGATAATCTCTCATAGTATCTTTAGAACACAATTATGATGAAATGAATATTCTTTGCTAATTTTAAACTTTAATGAAAATCAAAGACGTGTGTGAAATTGTTGTATGTATAGACAAAGTACAAACCTTTGACTTAAGATAATGTCTTAACCATAGGTAAGCTTGTTAATCAATCACCCCAGCCTACTTAATATATCAATAGGCCTGTCTGGTCTGTACTTTAAATGTTTGTTTTGTATAAATTAAATCAAGCATTCGGATTAATTTCCTGGGTTGTTTCATTCTTAATTCATTATTAGTCAATAACACGATTTTTTTGCTACGGCATCAATATAAATAGTTCTTAGAAATAACATTCAGCAACTGACATAAATTGATAAATTATCCAGTAATTAGAATCGATTGAAATCTTCTAACTTGATAATGTAAACTTGTATGAAAGGTTTACAACACATGAAAGATAAAGTACTTGAAAAAATCTTTTAATTTCCTTTTCCAGGGACAAATCGCATTGTTTTACTACAAGGGTTCTCAAACACTTTGCATTTGACCTTTAACGAAACTAAAAGAAGTGAAAACTGTTATAAACAGAAAATGTTTAATATGGAGATTATTTTATAGAAAAAAATATTTTAAACTGACATTTTTATTTTTGAGATGTAGTTAATTTAATTAAAAACCAAAGATGAAATATCTGGAGAGAGCAAACAGTATTCAATCTCAGAAGTCCCTTCAAACAATACAAATCCGTAGCATAACGAACACCAACCTCTTGCATAATAGTAATTTTCGATATTTCCATGCTGCAACAAATACTCTCGATTTCTTCACACTGCTAACTTTTTAAATGCAATGATTGAGCAATTTTTTTTCTTTCATTAAGCAACAATGTTTTAATCTGCGTTTGCTCCGTGTTTATTAATCAACTTAAAGTCTTTTGAAAATAATTGAAATTCATGTCAATGGCAGCGTGTACTTTTCCTACATTCGATATATCGTACTGACGCATCGATGAATTTCACAAAGACTCGATTTTACCCATCATCCATCTTGTTGTCTTTGGAAGATATCTTTAACATTATTATTTTCTTTGTCAAATAAAAGCTAAAAAAAAATAGGGAAAGAAAATTCTACATTTTACTATGCTCACCATATCCATGTCGAATTGTCAACAAATATGAATATTTACATTTTCAATGTCTTTGTCCGAGATAAAATTACCAATTGTAAATGTACTTTATTTCCCCATCAATGTATCGGCGCGGTTCCAAAAAAAAAACCACGTGCAGGGCGAGACAAACAGCTAGACAGAAGCAGGGCTTAGAGCACGTGGATTGGCGGAATCAAAGCATGTAAATATAAGGAATAACTGTCAGATTTTTCAATGTCATGAAGATGATCAATCGATTGGCTTGCGTGATAATTTTATGCATAAACGCCTTCGGCAAATTATCACGCAAGCCAATCGATTGATCACTTCATGAAATCGAAAAATAAGACAGTTATTTCTTAAATTAATTTTGTTTGTCCAATTTTTTTTAGTTATAAATTATTGTATAAAAACTAGTTTACTGACAATAGAAGTAATAATCATTAGAGAGATTTAGTTACAAGTGACGTAACAACGTGTACGCGACACTTTGACGTCTAGTGAGATGACAATACATTCAATAGTTTTTCATAGTTTATGATATCTATGACTAGAATAAGTATAAATTCCAATTCATCATTTATTTGTCTAAATTAAAAATGATAAATAATAAATACAGTGCGGTTAAATTAATTTACTATAGTCTCCAATTACGAAAGTTGCATACGTACACATGTACGTATAACTAAACCATGTTTTTGACGTTGACGTCAAATATAACATGTCAAGGAAGATACATGTATATAATGAATTTGTCATAATCAACATCATTGATGATTGCTTAGCTCATATCGTTTAACATCTATTGTGATTGTTCTGGACGACAAGCTTCGTTAAGAAAATTGTGTCATAATGCTTCGATCTATTACACAAAATGCTGCTTAAGAGGTTTAATTACACGTTTTGGGAGGGTGACGTCATCAATTGTTGTTTTCTTTGACATCATAACGTCAAATCCAACGTGTAGCTACAAGTTAAGAACATGTAATACACTGTCTACACGTACGACGTAAACGGGTAAAGTTATGGATTAAATTCTTTATTTTTTGATTCAGTTGATTGATTTTTATGCAATAAAACAAGAACACTAATGTATCTAAAAATTTTAATGAATGTTGATTCGATGATTCCATCAAAGTATTTGTACTTTTGTCAGTGAAAAGTTAAACTCAAACTGAAACCAAACAGCATGTTTATTTTTTTGTGCGCAGGATTCATTTGAAGAAGATCCTGCTAATGCACCAAATAAAAAAATTCTTTGCGGTGATTTTTTTTCTCTTTTTATTATTTTTTATTAAAACCCATTTTAACACCTCTATAATATATTATTTTCATGTATCTTCCTTGACACAGATAAGAAAAAATAAGCTGATATAATTATCTTGTAATCATGATTTGATTTAGCTCTTTTCTCGTAAGAACGAATCAAATATTTAAAAAATGAATTTTATAGCTGCCCAAGCTATACAGTATTAATGGGTTGGAAAAATTAAGCTCTTTTAAACCGCCAAGCGTAAATTGTTCCAACCGATGCCATGTATAGCTTCAGTAGCTATTAAATTTATTCCTTATAATTTAATTTCCCATCATTTCGAATAGAAAATAAGGTCTTCTCTTTAAATACATTAAAATTGAACATACATATATTTGAATGGAATGTCAAGCAGACCGATACGTTTTTAACGTAAGTCATTGTGACATGAGCAACACAGCTGATACGATATAGACTAATGCTTAACCAATTAAATGGCTCGTTACAAGCAAAATTTAATTACATGTATTTCGATATCCGTTTTGTCAAATGAATACATGTACTCTTCTTTGACTTTGACATTGACTACAAGAACAAAGATGCCGCGGAGAGAAAAAAAGCATCCTGACTGTCGACTGGACAAAATAACTATGTGACCCTTGTCATGTTTGGACAAATGTAGAAAAAAATCTCATAAAATTCGGTGCATATTAATAATAACAGTTTGTATGAAAAACGTCAATCAACATTTCATGATACTTTGTATCTGGTAGCAATGTCATTGCACTGTCCAAAGAATTTGAAAAGTATTTACATAAAATGTAACTGTTTAATTATAATTATCCTTGCTGACCAATTTGTTTGTCAATAAATTATATCGCTTTAGAAAATCTTCGTACATAATCATGTCTCTTGACAGCTTTTCAACTTTTCATCTTGATTGAATTTTTTATCTTGATTTAATTTTTTATCTTCATTTAATTTTTTTTCTCAACCAGAAGGAAAGATGCATATAATAGGAATTTTTTTCCAATCTTAGAAACAGGAGCACAAATTGGAATATTTTTAAAGACTGTCACAATTTTGTCACAGCTACACATACAAGTAAATACAAAACATACATTCATTCACGTGGTATGTCATTATATATATATATATATATATATATATATATATATATATATATATATATATATATATATATATATATATATATATATATGAAATGTCTGAAAGATTTGCTAGCTTCTTTTAGCCATAAATTGGCACTTATTTAGTTTTTTTTTTTTGTTTTTAAAGACAACAGTCTACTGGATTTCCCATGGGT